ATTAAGTCTCCTTTTTCATCACAGCACATAATAAGGAAAATAAACAGCTGATAAAAGAGTCAACAAATTATCTTGGGTGTCTTACATATCAGCATTTGTACTTATGCAACAGCATAGCTAGACTTACTCGGAAGTTCCATAATTGCATAAAAAATTTCTCTTTTTACTTGCATTGCAACTTCTATTGCTCTTCACTTTCCAACTTTTACTTTCATTATCACTTGCAAATCTTGTAAAACCGTTCAGTTACTTGGCAATCGTTCGTGTACACAGACTTATATTTTGTGCTACTAAGTCTGCACAAAAAAGCAGTTATGGAAAAGTGGCGCGGTAAAATTGCAGTTGTTACAGGCGCTTCAAGTGGAATCGGTGCAGCAATTGTGAAAGATTTAGCATCAAATGGAATTAATGTCATTGGATTGGCACGAAGGAGTGAAAAAGTCGAGGACTTGGCAAAAGAATTAAGTCATTGTGAAGGGAAAATCTACGCTCGAAAATGTGACATTTCCGATTATGCTGCATTAAAGGAAACGTTTAAATGGATTGAAGAAAAATTTACAGTTGTTCACATTTTGATTAACAATGCAGGACGAGGCTTGGGCGGAAATGTTCTGGATTCAAATGAGGAAATAATAACGACCATAAATGAAATTATTGATCTCAATTTGAAGGCACTCATTAACTGCACACGTGAAGCCTTCCGTTTAATGAAATTATCGAATGAAAATGGATTCATCGTAAATGTTAGTTCAGTTGCTGGCCATAGCATTCCATTTCCAAATCTTTTAAACATTTATCCAGCAACAAAGCATGCAGTAACTGCTTTCTCAGAAATAATACGTCAAGAACTAATTGTGAACAACCATGATAAAATTCGGATGACAAATTTAAGTCCTGGAGTTGTTCAAACAGAAATTTTTGAAAAATCTGGAATGGAACATTCTGAAGCTTTTTTCGCACTGACACCTCATTTGAAACCCAAAGACATATCTGATGCTGTTTTTTATCTTTTGAGCACACCATATCATGTGAACGTGACAGAAATGGTAATTAAACCTGTTGGAGCAAAATATTGAGGGAAATAATTCTCGTACCGGAAGTTGGAAGCATTTTGATTGTGGTTATGTGATTTATGATGTAGAAAAATTAGAGCGCATTTTTTAATTCTATAAAATATTTTAAGAAAATCAAAAAAAAAATACTCGAAATAAAATATATTTTAGTTTGAAGCCTCACCACTTCCTTGCTATTTTAATTGTTTTTAATTTCTAAATCTGTCTCTTTAAATAGAAAGAATACTCAAAAAAAATTGAGAGAATTTCAAATTAATTCTCATGGCTAAACAACAAAACTGCTGATAACTGATTTTAGTTTAGTCCACTTTCTGTGGTTGTTCCGATAAGAGTCTAAGCAGAAAAATAAATAATGGAAAAGTGGCGTGGTAAAATTGCAGTTGTTACAGGCGCTTCTAGTGGGATTGGCGCAGCAATTGTGAAAGATTTAGCATCAAATGGAATTAATGTCATTGGATTGGCACGAAGGAGTGATAAAGTCGAGAAATTGGCAAGAGAATTAAGTCATTGTGAAGGGAAAATCTACGCTCGAAAATGTGACATTTCCGATTATGCTGCATTAAAGGAAACGTTTAAATGGATTGAGGAAAAGTTTTCAATTGTTCATATTCTTGTAAACAACGCAGGAATAGCGCAACGAGAGAGAGTTTTCGACTTTAGTGATGAAGCTACAGAGTCTATAAACAAGATGATAGACTTGAACTTCACAAACTTAGTTCATTGCACTCGCGACGCTGTTCGGTTAATGAAAAAGTCAGAAGATTATGGTTTTATTGTAAATATCAGCTCAATTCTGGGTCACATAATCCCCTATCCAAATTATACAGCTGTTTATCCACCCACAAAATACGCAGTATCTGCATTCTCAGAAGTCATTCGTCAAGAATTGATTATCGATGGTGACTCAAAAATACGTATAACAAACTTAAGTCCAGGAACTGTTAAAACTGATGTCTTTAAAACTGTTGGTGTTGAAGATTTAGAAAAGTTTTTTCTCGAAAGGGTTCATATTCATCCTGAAGATATTTCAGCAGGTGTCATGTATGCTTTAAGTACTCCATACAATGTCAATGTCACGCAACTAACAATCAAGCCAATAATGGAGAAATTTTGAGAGTCAATTTAAGGATAAAACAAAAATCAAGCTATTTTGAAGTTACATTGATAGCTTGCTTATCATATGTCATATGTCATAAGAAAAATAATTCTTGGTATTTAATAATAAAGAGTTTTTCATGCATGAAAAGAAATTTTGGAGATAAGAGCTTAGAAGTATCTCACTATAAAAACTAAGTCAAATGTGTCTTCTTTTCTTTGAAGTAGAGACAACATTCGTACTCAAGCCAGCATAATAATTCTACTGATTAACATTCCCATATGTATAATGATGTCTTTAAATATAAATTCTCTCAACATTGAAGCATAAAATCTCTTCAAATGATGAAGTCTCTTTTAGCTCTGTTCGTTATTTTACTCAGTTATATTGTTTTATAAAACATGTGGAGACATGAATTGGAAGTACTCGAAATGATATACAAAAGAGCGTACTCTATATGCAGAACATAGGATATCTTCAAGTAAACGTCTGTACAGAAATAAATTAAAGAAATTTAAAAACGTAATTTTATAAAGCATAAAGTTACATTTATTGACCTAAACGAACTATTTGATGACAGTATTTAGTTTCTATTGACCAATTTGAATATTTTGGCACCTTATTTTAAATTATTCTACATCTAATTTGGAATTAAATTACAAGTTAAATAATTTGCATTAAAAAAATTCAGTGTTTAGATCAGTGTTGTCTAAACTGTGTGCCGTGGAAATTTTTGTGTGACTTTGGTCATGACTCACACCTAAGATGTGCCGTAGTTCGAATAGTTTGGACAAAACTGGTCTGCATGCTTCAAGTCATTAGCTTTAACTCGATTCTACAACATCATATCAATTTGTGTTCATCTACTCGAAATCTTCTTCATAAAATCTTCAACATTTTCATCTGTAGCTGTCGATCTTACTGGGAAATGCACGACAAGAAATAAAAGCATTTTCGGTTGCGAATGGAATGAAAAAGAAAAGCAAATCAAATCTTGTATGTTATCTCATAAGATTATACCTTAATTCTATTGCCATCAAATCAAACCAATGTAAAGTTCGATTCGTAGACAGAAAAAGAAAGTAATCATGTTTATATCCATGATTCAAGCACCCTTCAACATTCATAAGGTTACATACAATAAAGTGTCTTTAGAAAAACATCATCAGAATTTTATGTTTTGCTTCTATTTATTTTATGAAAGCTTGTATAAAGCTTCTATGAAGGATATGATACTTTAGATTCAATTTTTATGAATGTAAATTGAGTTTCCTTTCATGATGTTTGTTGTCTTTTCGAACCTAAAACGAGTTACTTATTTCACTCTATTCACTCATGAATGTTTGCAAGTCAAAAGGAAATTCTTCTATTATCTTCACATTTGCATTTCTACTTTTGCTTACAGAACACTTTTAGAATGTAATCCTTTTATGGAAGTCATGAATAGTTTTTTCATATCCTGCAGATATAAAATATTGTGGAACTAAAAAAATAAGACAAGTTTTACAAATTCAATATTTGAGGATCTAGAAATAAAAACAGAAAAGTAATTTGAAGCGCATTCAAAGTTATTGTCTGATAAAGCTTCGTGACTTATCACATTCCATTTGCTGTAAGTTTTCAAAATATTGAAAGGTTGTTGCCAATGAAAACAGCTGCATGCAGATTATTCTTGGCCTGAATTAAATATTGCTCAAGGTTTTGAATAAAGAAGAAGTTAACTTTAATGTTTAACGTGAATCAACAGAAAATTTCATAAATAAGCCCTAAAATAACATAAAAACCGAAAATTGTTGATGTATAAAACTGTATACAACAAAGAACGAGATGACAGTCAAAAAAAAACAAAAGTTCCAAGTAAAGGGTAGGAAAACGACTAACGTGATGAGGAAGAAGAAGAAGAGACAAAGAAAGGAAAACAATGCGACACAAAGTTGTTTATTCAAGAGCCCCAAGTATTTTTTCATACCCTCGTTCCATTCCGCATAGCATCATCATCCATTGAGAAAAAAAAAAGGAAATGAAATTTCATAAGACACTTGTTGCGCACCTACAACATAAATGACAACGCAACATGAAGAACTTAATCCATGATTCACTTCCATTTTTTGGAATACGGGCGCTTAATGTTTCATTCTAGTGCTGTAAATTATGCTTGCCACAAAAAAATTCTAATTAAGATATTTATGGACAGAATTAAGTTTTAGATGTAAACTTGTTCTCCTTCTCTTTTTGTTATTTGACTTAATTGTCATTTGAATTTATTAGTGAAGTTTCTGTTGTAACCAATGACAAGGAAGCGATTAAGATTTTTTTAAAAAAATATATAATATTAAGGATTAGTTGAATTAGTGTCAAGCTTTGGGTAATGACAGACTTTCATGCAAAGAATGTAATAAAGTTGTTGACTTTCGCAAGAAAAAACCTTATTGCAAATCTCATTCAAATTAAAGTACGAGCAATAACAATGTTAATATTCTTAATGCTACACGATTATGCTCATGTTCATTCATTCTTCTATTCCATTCATACACGTATTCTTCTTCATTCATCCATTCTTTTTCTGAATGGAAATCTTATTATCTTCTTAGAAAAAATGTGACTAAATTTGATTTTTTTTCCAACCCACAATTTAGACTGGAGATGAGGTGAATGGCATGATAATGGTTCGATCAGCAGAAGGTCGACAAGGCATATGCCCTGCAAAGTATCTTCAAGAAGTCTGACAACCGGAAGACCAGAAACTTGATAGGGATCGTGATAAGAGGGGATTGGGATTATCATTAAAATCTATAAATAAACCAGCAACATCAACATTATCGAACACGACAATGATGAAAAAATCTAGTAGCTTTAGTTTTTGTCAACTAGCAGCAGCAGCAGCAACGAGTAGTACCGGTAGTAAAACTCCACAACATCCACCTGCAAAATTAGATCTCTTAAAATTAACGTCACAATTAAAAGGTAGTAATTCGGCCAAAAAAGTAACAGACGATAGTTTTCGACGCTGGGAAGAACAAAGAGCAAAAAAATTAGAGGCATTGAATATTAACACAAAGACTGGAAAGAGAAAAACACCAGCAAAAAGTGAACAGCCGCAACAACAAAAATTACAACAACAGCTTCCTCAGCAGCCGAAAAAAGAAGAGAAAATACAACAAATACAGCAACATCAACCAAAAAGAGAGGAGAGGCAGGCCGTCTTAGTAAAATATAATCACCAAGAGACAATACAACCACCACCCCTAAAACCCCGCAACCCGCAACAAACTACATCAGCGACATCCCATAAAACATCATCGCGTCATCATCATCATCATCATCATCATAGAGAACGTGAACGCTCACAAACAGCACAACGTCGACCGAAAATCTCACTCCATCCGAATTGGTATACGGAAAATATTTATACAAATCAATCAATGGACGATTCAGACTGCGATAGTGGCATTATCAAGAGACCATTGACAACATCTGCATCATTTTCGCATTACAATACGAGAAGTAGTAATCGATATAATCAGTCTAGAAATAGCTTTCATCACTACGACTTTAATGGCAATAATCGAACGAACAATATCAATATTAACATTAGCAATACGGCAAATACAAAACTCCATGGATATTCATCATCATTTGAGGACGATGTTTTTGATGTAGATGCGCAACAGTGCTTTGAACGACATCGCAATTACCCAAAATCGCATAGTTGTAGTTTTGCTGAACGACAACGAGAGAGAACGGTAATTGATGCACGGTCACGAAGTGTCCCAAAATCTCAATCATTTACTGGGTAAGTTTGATGATAAACCTTTTCTTAATTTGTTGTTAATTTGACTGCAAATTAGAGCAATGACATTAATAGGAAAACATGATAAAGCTAACACTATTAATTTGACAGCAGTCACAGATATTAAATAAATAAATTCGATAAAAAAAATTTTAACAAATAAATTTTCCTATCCAAAAAAATAAAATCTAGACCAAATCGAACAAATCAATATGACATGGACTTGATAGAGTATCAACGTTATAAACGAATGATGGCAGCACAACGACAGAGTGCAGGATATTTTGGCACCCAAGCGTCATCACATCAACAGCACAGCAATGAGCCACTTGTCATGCGAATTTGTGATCGAGAAGGTTGCTTTAGTGAGACATGCCTCGTGAAAAATGTCAATAATAGTCAGAATATTTCAATCAACAATAACATAATCAATAACAATAACATCAATACTTCACACATTATAAATGAATGGGATTTGAGGAACAAAAATAGCAATTATCGAGATCGAGGTGATTCAAGACGAAATATGCCACCACGTGAGACATTTCTGGATGATGTTGAGACGTTCGATGATGACGATTTCATTTTCAATGATGGATTCTCGTTTCAAGAATTTCCATGTCAGCCAGCACGTCCTAGCACAAGACATCCACGCTCACATCATAATCCATACTTTTCATCAATGTGTTGCTCACAAAAATTCCCACATCAATTTCATCGACGAAGACGAGTCTACGATCGTGATTTGGATGATTTATTTCGTCGTGAACGTTCAAAGGTGCTTATACGTAACAAATTTGATAAACTCAATAAATATAGTGATGAATTTACGGACGATTATCAGAAATCATTTGAGGATTTATTTCATGAAGGAAAAACGACTACACATGGGCACAATTTAAAGCCATCTAAGGCAATGTTGGAAGTGAAACCGCCAAATAAATATGATGATACTGAGTCCGACTCAACTGATTTAGAACTAGATGACTTTAATATTGATTTTGAGAAATATTGGGAGGAACTTGAAGATAAGAATCTTTCAACATCATCAACACTGGAGCTTGCGGATGAGAACTATGATGATAACAATAATCATATGGATAGTAAAAGCACTGATCAAGATATCGATCATTCAAACAATGAGAGTGATGCTAATAATAATCCAATAAGTTTTATTAACGATTTTTATAAACCAACAAAATATTCGCCTCTTAATTCCAAGCGCCTTGACTACTTTCAGAAAATTTTGCCACCAAAAAAGATTAACATTTCAAGTACAGCACGTCCATTAGGTCTCGTAACACCAAACGATAATGTAGAATATGGAGCATCAATGAAACGTCCATTGACATTAAGTAACATAATTGAATCACCCGTTCATGATTCATCGTTCACGTATAATCATTGTGATGAGAGCACAGAACATCCGAAATTCGAAATAATTCCAAAAAAGACTGGTCTTAAAATTTCACCACTATACAATTTTGAATTTGATAACTGTCATAATAGTTTAATTAATAATACATGCAAATTAAAAAGTACGGCGCGTCCGCTGATCTTTTGGTGATTAATGTTGAGCACAGTGAGGGGAATTTTGTGAGATTAGGAGAAATTTTATATTTATTTTATTATTGTTACACGACCTTTTAAACTTCAGTAAGTGAGGAATTTAGTAAAAATTTATTCAAAGGAACCAGAAATTCACAAAAATTTGAGCTTTCCTAAATCTTCTCAATTACCAAAAAATTTGTGATAAGTTATGCTTAATTATTTTTATTGTTTGAAGTTTCAATTGTTAAAGGAACTTTGATGGCATTAATTGTGATGAGTCTATTCGATTTTATGTAAAGGACATCATTGGGGACTTGGGATGGTACAACAGATCATCGATTGCAGTGCTGCTTTTGCTATAAGCAAAACCCTACATTACATTCTATTCTATGTAAAGGAGAAGAACTTAAGTGACATTATTAATGAAATAAAAGCCATTTCTTTTGATCAGATATGCAATAATTGCCTTGTCACTCTTCAACTTTATAATATTTTTTTAGTCTGATCAATATTTTAAAAAGTTCAATCGTTCCTTAAAAATCATAAAATTGATTTCAATTTGAAAGTTTTTAATGATCATAGGTTTGCGTCATCAAGTTGTGCTTCATCAAAATAACTGATTCTTTTGTTTTTGAAGGAACTAATCTTAAGTTGACCTAAATGAATTTTATTTGAGAAAAAGAAAGCAAAACTAAAGTCTATATTTATTAAAAAACAAAACTGTTAAATGTGAATTCTATGTTGTGATGATTTCATTAAGGAACAAAAAATAAAAAAGCTTTGTGGTCGATTATGATAAGTAAATTGACATCCTCGATTGTAAGTTGTTGAATATTTTTTTTCCCTACAGAAAATGATGAGTAAAAGTTTAGCTTGTAAGATTGCCAAAAAATCCAAAAAACTGCATCATTCACACAATTTGGAGCTTTTTAAATAAATAAAAGAAATTAAAAAATAAAATTTATTGTAAGGTTGATAAGAAATTTTTTTATTGCATTCGAATTTATTGCAAAGAAATGAAAGAAAAAACATTCACACGCGGCTATACATTCTTTAAATAAGTATTTAAAAAAATTGATAAAATTAGCTTTGCATGCAACTCGCATCAAAGTTTAAAATTGTGGAAACAAAGTTGAATTTATTTAAGGATCAAAAATGAATTAGATTTAATTGCAAATTGTGCGCATAATTGAAAGAAACACAGAAACACACCTTTTTGTAATATGTAGGATGTAATGTCCTGCATTTTAAATAAATATGATGAAAACATGATGATGACGATGATGATTAACATTATAGAGATAAATATATAATTGTGTAGAAATTGAAAATGATTCTTAACCTAAAACTTAGTATTAACAAAACCAAAAAAAAAAAAATAAAAATGATAAAAATATTTGTGAAAATTTATAAAGAAATTATTACGCCGGATCTTATGAACAAAATTTTAAATGAAGAGATGAAAAAAATGATCAAAAACATTAAATGAGAGTCAATGTCTCAGTTTTTGTATGATTTATTCGTGTGTGCATGAGAATCATTAGTGACAAAAAGTAATAGATATGCTGGAAATTTTGCTATATTATTACTTAATATTTTTTATAAATTCTTAAACTTATTCTGACTGGGGAGTTTTTTAATTCTCACGTTTTATGGTGTTTGCAGGAGTTTTTGTTTTCTGTTGACCAGAAAGTTTTTTTAAATATGGATGGTATGGGGGTTCTTAAAATGACACCCCCAAAATACTCGTTCAGAACGGTACTAGCTTAAGCTTCAAAGCTCATAACATTCCCGAATACCACAAGTCGCTTAATCGAATAGAAATTCGGCACAAAACCGGTGTGACTCTGGCATGGTGCTTGATTCAAAATTAATTCAATACCTTATAGAGCTACGACAGCTTGGTGCCGGATTTTTATTCGATAAACCGACTTGTACTATTCGGGTACTATCCACAATCTTGAAAATAAACTCAAAAGCTATTTTCAAATTGTCTCTTAGTTTTTATTCGAAAGACAAAGTTATTCTGGAAATTATTTATTCATTGATTTTTATAAAGTTTTTGATTTCATTTTCTAGTCCAAGTGATGCAAATCTAATAATACTTTTCTGCTGTATTTGCAAACAGAAAAAGTTTTTATGAATTTTTCCAATTTCAATTTGATATTATTGAATTTTTAAAGAATTTTAGGGAAACTTTCACTGAATTTGACAATTTTGAAAAGCATTGAATTAAATTTGACGTGGAAATAAGGTTTGTGAATTGATTATTCTAACGGGAATTCTGGTCTATCCTGAGCTGCATTTATTAGCTTTTAAATGGATAAAGAGTTTAAAGATTAATATTTTTCGATGAGACAGCTTTAATTAAATCTTCGCCGATACAAATTTTAGCAGGTTTCCTTGAAGAAGTCAAACCAAACTTTTTTAACATATTAATTTTAAAGCTGGATAAGTTGTTACTTCTAAATTGTTACTCTTATCCAAACGTTAGATTAATTTTCAAACTAATTGCTTACCCTAAATTTGATATTCGTTGGAATGAGTACGAAAAAGTATGAATATTGATAAAGTTTAACAAAAGAAGAAAAAAAAATTAAACGAAAAACTTATTTTTCAGCATGAAAAAAAGACCAAAAAGCTTCATAATATTCGCGATTCTCTTCTTTATTCCATGCTAATTTTAAATGAAAAAAAAAAGAAATGAAGAGGTATAAAAAATTATCGTAGTTAATTAATGCACATACATAAATAATAAACGAGAAAATAAATAAATTCACACGCATACAGAAAACACTGAGCAGTACACTCAACAGATGACAGAATGGAATATCTTTGTTAAATGTTATGTTTTAGAAAAAAAAGGAACTATAATTGTATTGTTGTTATGTCAGAAAAAAAAGGATATAAATAGAATATAACTATGTTTTAGTGCTGAAAATGGATAAATTTTAATTATTATATGCAAAAAAAATTATGTCTAGATCAAAACCCTTACTGTTAATTTCCTTATTCGACATAATCTTGTTTATTAAATAAGTAGAAATAATAATTTTCTAAAATCTACAAATTTTTAAATTCGTTTTTCAATTTTGAGTATTTTCCAACATTCAAAATATATTTTCAGACCTCAAAAACGTATTTATAAAATAATTGTCTAGAACTCAAATTTTTAAAGACCCTCAACATTAAGTTTTTTATGTCCTTTAGTAGAATTTTTAATAAACATGAAAACATTCATATTCCTGATCCACAAATCACACAAATTAAAAAATAAAATAAACCAATTAAGTAAAAAGAGGAATTAAAAAAATCTTTAAGATAAATTAAATGATTTTCTTAAAATAGCTTAAATGAGGCACAAGTCAAATAGCTGAATTTGATTTTACTAAAGTTAAATAAATTTCGTTTTGAACTTTTTGCGAAGGACAAACCTTCTTGTAGATATTTTCCTTTTTTCTCCGATGAATAGAATCAATGATGAACAGTCTACAAATCACTGAATTTAAAGCATGCCGTGAAAAATGGTCGAAATGAATCATTATACAAGCAAGGCTACTGCAACTGATTTAGATACAATAGACATGACCAAAACTTTGCGTTTAACGTTTTTTCCAACGTTTTTAAGACTATATTAAACTTCAAATTATTATCAGGATATTATCTAGTCAAGATACTTCAAACGAATATCATTGTGCTTAGAAAGATTTTAATTTGTGAATAATTCGTGATTTTAATAACAAGAAAATTAACTTCATTTATGATAGTAAATTATGTCAGCTATTTGGCTTGTGGATAAGAAAATGTGAAAACTCTTAAGAATTTTATAAACGAAGCGAAGTGAGAAAGAATTTTTTTTTCATCTAAAGTACGATAAGAAAGCAGCATTCAAAGATTATAAATGAGAAAAATTTTAGAATGTAAGGTTAAAAATAAAAAAAAATTTTATCACATAGAAAAGAAACCATAAAAAATTCACCAACAATGAACTCCTTATTAACATTTTATATACTTTATACTATATGAAGAAAAAAAAATGATATTTACATTTTTATCCAAGAAACAAGTGAAACTTTTCATCCAAAAATCCAAATTGTGCAAAAAGTCTCTTCTCTAACATTCATATACATTATGAAAAAAAAAAAATAATTAAATACATTTTAGGATAGTGGCGATAATTTAATGTTATAAATACATCCATTGACTAGAAATATGGAGCAAACACACACACATACATACATACACTGAAATGATAAATGAAATAAATGGAGCAAAAAATTAAAAAAGTTTAACTTTTTTCTCTACAAATTTATTTTTCAATTTTTTTACAGAGGTTTTGAAATTTCAGGTTTAGACGCATGAGTTAATATTTTGTTATCAGACAGTCAACGACATGCGCATCCTTTAATAGCATTCGAGCTCTGGTTTCAACTACACAATGGCTGAAAATATAATTCTGCGAAAAAAGCCAAATATCAAACAACTCTGGCAAAACATTTTGGTCTGTTTTGTGCTAGGCTGAATTTAAACACTTAAAAACTAAAATAATAATACTAAAATCCTTTAAAATGGCACAAACTTTTATTTTGAATAAAATAATAAAAAAAAAATCTGCATTTAATTTCCAAAGTAAATAAATCGATTTCTGTGCAGCATAGCTAGACTTTTTTATTAAGATTGATGAGCGCATAGCTAGTCTTTAATCTCTCGCTTTATAACTTTCTGTTTTCATTAAATTTTAGAAGCATTTTTCCGATGTGCAAGTCGGAACGAAAAGTTTTATTTTGAGAAATAAAAGTTTCCAGAGTAAATGCTTTAAATGTATTGTGTGAATTATTCATACTGTTTAATGGAGTTTTTAAGTAGATATTTAAAGAATATAATCTTAACATCAATTAACCTAGAAATTAAGACACACTTCTATGAGGAATGAAAGATGTTTGGGGATTGCAAAGCTTTCATTAAAAAAACTCTGCAGTTTTATATCCAGAATTTTAAATAAAACAATTTCTTAATTAAGATTGAAGCTGCATGAGATTTAGAATCTATTTTATCAACATTATTCAGGTTTGGAGTAATAAATCACAGCTTACCTTAAAATTCAACCAAAATCTTTCTCTGTGGCTTTTCAGAATTATTTTACATTCTCATTTTCTAAAGGAACAAAAAAGGGTCGACGTGAATAAAATCTTTGGGTATTTACGAGACCACTTGAGCTCAACTTGAAGCAAGAAAGTACACGTAGATACTCGAATCTTTAAGTGCTATCGATTTTTTATTGGGAAGCATAAAATTCTTATTCATTCTCGATTCTTGTTTTCTACACAGCTCTAGAAACACCTAAGGAAATTTTCTTTTAAATGTGGGTCAGTTTTTTATTCACGGACGTTTTATGTTCTTTGTCCCGGGTAGCACAGAATAAAGAGAGATCCTCAAACTAGTTTCTCTTTGGAATCGGATAATTTAAATTTATTTTATTCATTTTCTCATCATGAAGAACCAAATTATTGTCTTCTTTTTGCTGTTATCCGAGATTTAATTATTTTAAACCAAATTATTGCTGCTGTTGCGATATGATTCCTTATATCGTGAGCTTTGTGCGAATCCTTGTCATCTCGACAACAACTTTTTATAATGATTGAGAAGATTGGTCTCTGGTGGGAATCGAACTTACGCTCTCTCAAAGGAGAGTTACAGATATTCTGTCTGTTGCATAATCTTTCGCGCCATAGAAGCTTTTCTTTTGTACAGGCAGATTCGCCTATATATGGTCACATCTCTATACCACTGTAATCAGTGATAAAATGATGTGGATTGTGTCGCTCGGAAAATTCAATAATGTGAAAAAACTTATAATTTATTAAAGGAAAATAAGGCTTTAAATTTTGATGAAAAGAGAACAGCATGTGGAAAATTGTGACTGTACAATTGGAAAGAAGATATCTTACTACTGAAATTCCTAAAAAATACCTGAAATATGTGTTTAAAAATTTAGCTCTTAAAAAACACAAAAAAATTATATTTGTCATTAAATTATTAGGCAACAGTAAAATCTGTTTTGTTTATTAGTCAAATATTTTCTTACAAATTATCCTTGATACTCTGATTCACTTATAATATAATGGTACAAAAAATCTTTGTTCTAAAATTTTCATTTTATATTCTATATCACAATCAACACTTTTGGTTTCAGCTCTTGGTTGATTCCTTTTTGTTTTATTTATTTAAAATTTGAGGATAGAAATTTTCCATCATTTTTTGATTAATTTATGTTAAAAATTTGTTGTTCATTATTTACAGGTCTTTTGAAGTTAGAGGATGATTAAGACTAGTCTGTATGAGTAGAAATCAATATTATCGATTTATTTCTAGTTTTTGTTCCAAAACCTAATCCTGAATTCCTTTCTTCTACTCAATCAGACTATTTCTTGACATCCAATGAAATTTAAAACCACATTATTTCTCTGGTATAGTAAAAAATAGTAAGTATGGATTCAGTCGTGTGAGAAAATTCATTTAATATCTAAAAGAATTCAAGCTGGACTGGCAGATGTATCAACATCAACTCGCTGATGTGTTTGTCTTTGTCCATTATGAGGTAGTTGAAGTTCTAATGAACCCGGAGGTGATGGTGCGGATGGTAAAAATGTCGCTGATGACGCTGTAAAATAAATTGATGGTGGCCCTGAATTGTCAGAATTTGATGTTGAATTAAAATCTTTAGCTAATGGAAATAAACTTGAATATGGTGGTGGTGGATCATATTGTGGACAATTGTTGTCATTCCCGTGCTCTTGACTCAAAGTCTCAATGGGCTCACCATTTGCATTGAAATGTTCTAGCACGTCACTTTTCTGTACTCGTCGTATGCATTCCCATATGCCGCACATTAAAAGTACTACACTGACGGTGAGCATACCTAGCATCATGTATCCCCACGATCCATATCGTGAGAGATTATTGGCTTTTGCGTTCTTTCTTGGTGTTTTAATAAATCGTACTTCACTTTGTTCTTGCTGCTTATTACTATTGTTACTATTATTATTATTTGGTCTATTATTAAAACTATTTACACGTTCATTAGTTGAGTCAAGTGGCTTGAGATCAGGATAATGATGAGTGGCAAGTGTTGGACGAACATCCGCATCTGGATGACCCGGAAGAGGATTCATCGATGATATAGCTGACGTTGACTCGATTGGTCCGAAAATATTCTGAAATATTCCCAGCGTTAAATGCTGCCATATTGATGACTTTTGTAGATTCTAAAATATTTGTTGGAAGTGAAAGATTTTTAGTAAGGAATAAACATGAGATATGTCAAAAAATAACTTACGTTTCTAATATCATGATCATCAATTTTATGCTTTTTACATAAACTATCATCTTCGTCACTCAACATTCCTCCACCAAGTGGACAATGCCTGATTCCATCACATATGAGGTCTTCAGATATACATAAAAGTGGATCATCTCTATTAAAATAAAAAAAATGAAAGTTAAATCAATTGTCATGAAAGTAATGATGATTGAAAATGATGTGTAAAAAATACTAACCCAAATTTCAAGCATGGATGCTTGCTTTTATGTCTGCAAGAATCCCCTTTTGACACTACGGTGATGATTAATTTATAATTTGGCTCATTTGATCCATGAACCCACAAAACTTTCACACGACCTTGAAGGATTTTCATTTGTTCTTCATTTACATTATTTGTTTCCATTTGACATGGATCAAATCTCCAAGGTGATTGCCGCTCATCGCCTAATGGCGTCTGTGGAATAAACAATTATTGATTTTATGTCGGTTAATTAATTCTTATTATATCGTGAATTTTACACATGTAAATATAATGGATAATAATTAATATTAACAAGCTATAAATGATCGGAAAGTAGGTAACTCATTGTCAACAATTAGCAAAGAAGAAGTAAATATGAAAGGAGGAAACAAAGCTTTGTATGTTATTAAAAATTATATTCCATTTTTGGAAATCTACGGGATTGTCTTAAATAAAAAATTAGATGTTCCAATTTTGTACATGTGAAAAATTATTGTTCTTAATTGAAGATTAAGATTTATTTATAATTGTGACCGTATTTCTATATTTGATATGATGAATAAGAAATACAAAAGATTATCTTGTGAATTTAATGAAAAAATAATAACAAGAATAAGAAGAAAATTGCTTTTGGAATTATTAACATTGCTTTAATGACTTTTTTATGGCTGATACTAATTCAAAATGCCGATCATTTACGTAAAATCATTGAGAATTGTTTATTGCTTAATTGCATGTGTTATATATTTTTCGATCTTGGAAATAAAACTTGATTTATCTTGCATTAAATTATTGACATTAATAGGATATTCCAAAATTGTACCTAAAAGTTCTATTAAGCAATAAATGATGAGAATTTGATTCGAGATACTTAAGCTTATTTACTTTACTGTTTAAGAATTGGAATATTATTCTAGCTAATTATCTTTGGTAAGTTGTAATTATTTTGGATCATAATTAAGTTTCAATCGACAAACGACAGTTGAAAAAGCAAAAAAAGCCAAAAACACTTAAAACAGTCAATATACATCCAAAAATACTTTTATAGATATTCAAGATTCTATCAAATATGGAAATAAGCTCTTGAAACACGTGCCAAGAAGTTTTCATTCTTGCAAATCCGTTTGATTACTGAATATTCTTATTCTTCATCAAGCTGAAATAATTTTTGAAGAGTAAAATTAGAATCGGTACATTGATTCTTTTCATTCTTTTAAGTTCTTCAATGTCTTAAAGAATAATCTAATATTTCAAAAAGAAAATGTTCATTTATAATGAATTCTTTTGGGAATTTTATGATTCTTCAAGTGGCAATAAATAGATCTAAAATAATAAAATCTAAAATTTTGGGGATCCCCTGCAAATTTTTTAAAATATCAAGTTATGAATTTTCAATGCCAAACATTGCATAGGTTTTTCAATAATAACGTAAATGTGATCAGAATCAAAAGTTATACATCAATACCGGTATTTGCCATCATGAAGACAGATAGAACATAGGTTTGAAACCACAAAAAAGATTTATAAAATCAGACATCTTTATAAAATTTAAACTTACTAAAAAGCATCAATAATTCTTTTATGCACTTAATTACAATAATTAGCATTAAGTGTCTATAACAAGTCGTATTCTAACGTAAACAGTAACAACAAATATTAATAGACACATCAAATTTTTACGAGACGTAATAACAGATGTCGTTGACTGTTTGCTTAATAGAAACAAACAGTCTTTATTTATCGCACATTTGATAATTTAAATAAGTAAACTTCCAAACAAATAAAATATCTAAATTCTAAGTGATGAATAAGCAATAGATTTCGTATGAATTCAGTGACAAATTAAAATATTTCCTTGTTCTTCTTCTCAAATTATTCATTCATTCATAAGCAAGTAGAGAAAATGGAATCTATTTAGGGGCCGTTCACTTATGACGTCCGACATTTAGGGGGGAAGGGGGGTCTAGGATTTTGTGACAGTTCAAACAATGGAAATTTTTTTCTATAGAATTTTTGTGACAGAGGGGGAGAGGGGGTTTAAAAATCAGGTTTTTTGATGGACGTCATAAGTAAACGACCCCTTAATTAAAATCATAAATGAGACATGAAATTCAAGTTCGAAAAGAAAAAGAAAAGAAATTGGCAGCTTGAATTAATAATGGAGGCATAGGCAAAAAAAAAACACAATGTCAAGGTCATAAGACATTAATATACTTACAATACTTAGCGGACAAAATTCAGTGAGATTTCTCCTCGTGTTATTATTAAAATAATCATCTCCTCTAACGAGTCGTATAAATAAGCCACTCATCTCGGGTGCTATAAAGTACCGCTTGCATGAATTTAACGTCCTGCCGGGTCGCAAATCCATCACGATACTCGACTCACTACCGTCATCTGGTAAAAATTTCTCTTGTTCTTGACTGTTGCATAAAAATTCCCTCCTCACTGGAAATGTCGTTGGATTTATTTGAGGCTGTTGCTCATTTACAGGAATTGATATTGAGTCCATATCTATAAAGAAATTAGAATAAAGAAAAAAAAATTAATTAATGCAAAAAATGAATCATTAATATTAATAAAATTTGTCAATTTAATAGCGTTGCTTCTCACAAAGATTAAAATTAACAAGTAGGAAATGCCAGACAATTTACTCAACTAAGCATCCCACCCATCTATACATCAATTTGAAAAATTCACTTTCAGTTTCATCAAAAGTAAAACTTTCTTATTTGCAATCGTTTAGCTGACGAAGATGATGATAGGATGAATGTGCCGGAACCAAACGATATGAAAGCAGGATTTTACAAGAAAAAATGAAAATAAATTTAAATTTTTATTAGGATTTAAATCGTTTGTGCTCTAAAAATTTCTTAAAAGTAAAATTTTACTCGCACATCTGCCAAAAAAATTATTTTGATTGTGAGAATTCTCACTGACATGAATCGGTGTTAATATGATCTTTGTAATGTTCTACCGTATAGTCTTGCATATAATTCACGAAAATTGGGAACAATTTAAAAATTAAAAGTTTCGACAGACAAGATTTTAGTGTCATTGCAAATTGTAAACTGTTAATTTTCAACGGAATTTCGCGATAATGAAATGTTAGTGTCTATGTGCATCTAATAGCTTGTGAGAGCGAAAAGGGCAACAATAAACATTTTTTGCAGCGTACAATGTAAAAGACAAAAATTACATAAATTCTATGCGTGTTACGCGAATCGAGAATGTGGTAATTTAAAGCAACTGTTATGGGATTGTTTGAGCCGTAAAATAGCAAAAATTGTAAGCTCACACATGCAGTGGCATTGAAAATCTCTTTTTTTTCTCTCGAACGCAATTTTGCGTTTCATCCACTTAGCAGAATTAAGCGCGTGCGGTGCTCTTTTTCCTTTCAACTACTTAACAGCTTAATGATTTATTGTTGTGATATCGTAAGTACCTAAGTCAATTAGAGTTCGTATGTGAAACTTTTGAGTGAAATTTAAACGATTGGAAGTGCTTGACAATTTCTCTAGTTGACAGAGAAAAATTAAGTTGGGATCGTTGGTTTATGACATGTATCAAATAGGATCTCTATAGGTTAAAATCCGGTATCTGGACTAATATATGCAGCACTGGTGCTAAGCAGGCATTTTTTGCATAACATTTTACACTGCTTCAAGTCGTTTAAAACGTAAATAAATCAATTTGTTGCAAAATTTTCACTATAAACTTAATTACTTTAATTAATTAGCCGATAAAGTTTGTTTTTAATAATATTTTTTTAAATGATATAACCAGCAGTAGAAACGGAAATTGAACCTTTTTCCAAGTTTCGCATTATTTTTCTTTTCATCGCCACCAAGCGTGCCTCATTAGGAAGCCAAGAAACACACAACATTCGCATTTATGAAGGTCGTTGAGTGAAAATGAAATCGAAAACAATTTCTTAATTACTCGTATGTGCATCTTATGTGTACACGAAAAAACATATATATTGAGAAAACTTTTTGTAAACCTAAACTTTAGCATTAATTGAAACATAAAAATTGAGTTTGCAAATTAACTTATGAAATGCATTGGCATTGAGAGGATGAAGAAGAATCAAAAAAACTTGAATTAATAAAAAGTTTATTGACATTTTTGGTATAAAATCTATCTTGTACTAAGTATTAATAAAAAATTCGGGTTTTAAGATTGAAACTTTGTAGTTAAGGTAGGAATAAAAAATTGTTTAAGGTATAATGCGTTAGTAAGGAACCAAAATTAAGGAAAATGAGATAAGAAACATTTTTGCATGGATAATACACATTAATGATTGGAACTGACATGTAAATTGCTAAAAATATATTTTTGAATATTAATGACTTTAATTTTGGAACCGAATTCCACTAAGAAGGAAGTGTCGAAAATATTAATATCTGTAAAACTCTAAAAAATTGAGCACTTAAGTCAACATTCTTTTTGGGATTTTCTGCCACCCAGATACAATTTTAACCAAGCTATAAATGTCTTTTTTTAAAAAAAATTTATAGAAAAATTAAGAATGAAAAGAAACATAAAGTTTCGTACAATGGTGCTTATTAAAAATTCTTAACAACTGTTTCTCATTTCCGATTACGTGCAATCATCGATCTCTATTAGAATTCTTCCAATATAAGTAATAACAAATAATAACGATAATGGCTGCACGTGAACTCAACACATTTTTCTTATGTGTCTTTCGGTTCTGTTTCTTGAAATGTTCATAAATTGAAAAGAAGGAAGCAATTGAAGAGAAACAAATTTAAAGAATAATAAAAAATTCATCATTCATTTCAATTGTTTCCATCTCTTCCTTTTATTTCATTTTCATGTACATGCATTTTAAGAATGAAAGGGGAAGGAACACATTTGCGATATGCTATGTGAAATTAAAACATTTCCGTTCGATTTTTAAACTTCTTATTTTGCCCTTTCTTTAACCCCATCTGTGTAATTGTCCTTATGCACGAATCGACTCTTGCTGTTTGTTCGATTCACTTAAAATGCGGTCATTCCATTTCTGCTGATTGAGAGAAAATTTCCGGTTCTTGTTCTCAAACTGTACAACTTTTTGGGCAACAACGCGTGGTGCTTTGACTCAACAAAAGAACATTTTGAAGGCCAATGATTTTGGTTAGGAGTTGTTCATTAATTAGGTCTACAAAAGTGCTGCAATTTCCTAATCATGTAGTTATTTTTATTATTATCTCTTTCTTCTTGCCTCATTTTAGTGTGACGTAATTTATGGACAAACTATTAGGCCTGAAATCAAGATGTGTAAGAAGAAGAGAAGATCTGTCCATTCCGCACATTATTGATGATGACCTAAAAGCAACAGAGTTTAATGCTCCACAGATTTCGTTAAAATTCAAAATTGTAGTGGGATGAAATGGAACTTGGTAGAGTAACCTAATTAAGACTGTTTAATCTCATTTCAATGTACACATTTAGGATTTATCGGATTTTATGACTTTAAGATGCTCAAATGTTTTCAATATTCCTCGATAAACTTAAAATTAATAGCGTGTTTTGTAAACACATTAAATTACAATAATTATCTCACTAGTATCAAGTGAATCTTTTTGTATAAATTAAGACGATTCAAATAGGCAAAGAAGCAATAATTATATTCGAAAATATCAACAAGTCTTTGAATACAATAGCAATAAACTCAGCATAAGATTCAATTTGATCACATCATGAGTCATAACTTAGAATAAAAACGTGCTGTATCGGACAGCTCAGATACTTAGCGAGAACAAATCATAGCAGAACCTTGAATAAAAAACTATATTGTAAGCATGTTGATGTGCATATTAAAATAAAATTTATAATTCTCGAATGTTTAAAGCTTATGATTTTGTTTAAACTATTGATCGATAATTGTTATGCCAAATTTTTCAGCAAATAATCATGATTGCTTCCAAAAGAAGAAGAAAAAGAGAAACATTTTGATTGCTGTGCTGTCTAAATAAGGATATATCAAGCAGAATGGAAATATTATACTTGATTCTTATACCTGATTGGCTTAATTATTATTGAACATATATGTAGACATCTATTGTTATATTGTCATAAATTTTAGTCGGAAATTTAATTTCACTGACGTTTGTCGTAAACATGTTGACAAGAACTTGCAAGCTTTTAAATCTATGGATTTTTTTGGTCTCTTCAACTGTGGAGATTGAGGCACGTGGAGTTGTTTTCAAAAAAATTTTTGAGGATAGTTTAAGCCATTGGGCTCTTAAACAACACTTGTATGGCAACTCAGATCTTTTGTCAGACTTAACTAGCATTGAATCTTAATGATCATGGCATATTTTTGTTCATCGCAAACACAAGCTCCTAGAAACTGTAAGAACTAAAGATCATTTTCTATAAACTGATGAAATATCTTTTTGATTTTGAAAATCCACACTTCAGGTTATGACCTAAAAATGGCAGCGTCAATCAATAAAACACAGCTATCAATTTATATCCAAAACTAATCTTTTGATATAAAAATTAAAAGTTGTGAAGAAATGAATACCAAGGAGTTGTTTTTATTACCCAATAGCACCGCCTTTAGCTTAAAAACAATATTTCACCCGGCATGATTATTAACAAGTTGTGCATCAGCCTTCATATCAACTTGAACTTTTTATAAATATCGTTAACAAAATGTGCTAAAATGTATGTACACGAAACATGATTATTAAGTAATAATAAATAGTACAAAATACAAAAATCCATACAGTGACTTAAATAATAAAATTATGTAAGTTTCCGTACCTTGAAATTTATTTTTTGAGTAAAATGCCTGCAAACATGAAATTCGTGTTCATAAATGCAGAATATATAAATAATTGTAAACATTTTATTGTTTAGAAAAATAAATCAATTTCTGATTGACTTCCAATATTGCATGTTGTGTGACTTGATGAATTTTTTCAATATTTACTTTGCAAATAAAAGCTTTGAAGGATATGATGTGATTTTAAGTTGAAATTTTTGAGGAAGTTGAACTTATTAGAAAGCTTGATCTAGAATGTCCATTTCATATCTAAACTTTCAATGTAAAGTGCTTAGGGATCATTAATAAATGACGTTCAACAAAATCAGCAGAAACAAGATATAATTCAAATTTATTTTCACAAAACGGAAACGACTGATATTTTCCATGTACGTCATCTATAAACACTCCTCTCAACCCTCTAAACAACAATAAGTCCTTCAAGTAAAAAATTTCTCCCACTGCCTTTAAATCTGAAACTAAATGTTGTCAATGCATTTGAAATAAAATTACCGTATTTTAGAAAGGTCAATAAGCTCTAAATCCTAAACGTTCAGACATTAATCGCCCTAATCAATTTGTTCAAAGATAAACAATTGTAGATGGATAGTTGTCATTCAGTAGTTGTGGATAAGTATGTCATTCATCATTTAGAGATCTTATGCTTGCAATGCCTTTAATGTTCAGTGTTAAGCATACTTTACTTTACATAATCAAACTTAACAAACATCAT